CCCAGAGCTATTATACATGCAACAGTTAGAAAGGAGAGGAGCATTGTGGGTGATGTAGTTGATTCAATGCCATGATTCAACATGAGGTTAAATTGTGAAGAAAAGTAAAGGGGGTGATTAAAGGAGGATGCGACTGAGACACAGGGAGAGAATGTGTCCTACTTGCCCTCTTGACCAAATGAGCCAGACAAGACAGAACACTCGCGGTTGTTTTCCAGAGATAAAACTGCAGTACAGAGGCATGGAAAAATAAAAAAAATGCAGCATGTCAGGAGGGATGAGCTCACTCATTTTCCCCTTGTGGGCCTCCCCTGCACAGACAATACACTCTCACAAGCATACACAGGCACAGACAAGAATCATGACACACATAAATTTACATAAAGCTTTTTGTGCCAATAAACATTAAGACACAAGATGTAGGAATTATTGCATTCTCATTATGCTCATGCTTGCTTTTGCAAGCAGTTCTAATAAAGATCCCAATGCACTTTTTTCCCTGTAGAGAATAGACACATTACAGGACAGGTTCATTCATGAAACAGCAACCCTGAAGCAGCTAGGAGTTTAAGCATTTTGCTCAAGTTCATCTCTTGCCAGGGACATTTAGGGAATATCAATGACGGCCTACAAACTAGGCTAATCACACCCTGAAGGTTACCTGTCAGCCCCACACCTTGCTCAATAGCAGTGGCAATGGAGTAGATGGCTCCTTAGCCTTCATGGCTAGGGTCTGAAATTCTGTACAATGCCAAGACTTATGGTCTTGACAAACTAACGTTTAATAACATAATTTTAAAGGTAACATGAAATGAAATGAAAATGTAAAGCTGCACTACTCAACCTTTTATAGTAACACTTAAAAAAATCTTGTTTTTAGGAGAACTGCTTTACTTTAAAAAGCTCTGATTATCCCAATGGAGACTACCTGCCGTGCAGTGCACCAAATAGCAGAAAACTGACAAGGGAGTATGGAGTATTTACCATCCTAAAAGCTACATCTTTTCAGAGGACTTGGTGGAGACCAAAACAGAGCTCAAATGAGAGTGAATGTTGGACTTAAATTTGATGGTAACCAGAAACAGATTCCAAACTAATGCTAATGCTCCTCTATGTCTGCTAATAAATTGGTAAATAGGTAGATGTTTGCTAACATGCATACTCAAAGACTGCATTGCAGTGTATTAAGAAATTATATTTTCATCCCAATTTTCATTCCAATTATATATGTGTGCACGATGTTCCACAGTTTTGTGATTGGTGCAGCTTTTTAATAAGGAGATGATTAATATTTGCCTGTTCTGAGAAGGAAGTTTATTCATAGTAAGTGGCATTGGGCTGATATATTGACTAAACCAAATAGCAGATTTATAATACTAAACATTCATTTATGAAAAATTCTTCTTCTTTCAGCTGTTCCCGTTAGGGGTCGCCACAGCGAATCATCTGTTTCCACCTAACTCTATCCTCAGCATCCTCTACTCTCACCCCAATTAACTTCATGTCCTCTTTTAGCACATCCATATATCTCCTCTTTGGCCTTCCTCTTGACCTCTTGCCTGGCAGCTCCATCTCCAACATCCTTCTACCAATATAACCACTACCCCTCCTCTGCACATGTCCAAACCATCTCAATCTGGCCTCTCTGACCTTGTCCCCAAAACAGCCAACCTGAGCTGTCCCTCTGATGTGCTCATTCCTAATCCTGTCCATCCTGGTCCCTCCTAAACAGAACCTCAACATCCTCATCTCTGCTACCTCCATCTCTGCCTCTTGTCTTTTCCTCACTGCTACAGTCTCTAACCCATACAGCATAGCTGGTCTCACTACTGTCTTGTACACC